GCCAAACGACGTCCCAGGCGAGAAATCACTGTCGCTCTCGCTATCCTCATTATCACTCCCCCAAAAATTCCCTCAGCTCATCATGCACCGCGGCCTGCTGCTCCGCATCGTAGCCGATGGGAGAATGTTCCGTGAGTCCCGCGGACTGTAAAATCTCTTTATCGATATCGTTCATGTTATTATTAGCCCGTACGCGTCGTTTCGATGTATCGCTCTCGGTGTTGTTCCCCTCGCTATCGCCGTCGTCATCACCACTGTCATCGTCGTCTCCTGTCATACCAAATTCCTCTTCCGATGAAGTTAGGAACGAGAAATCATCGAGACTGCCATTGGACTTGCTAGGGTCCCATGGAGAGATATTGTCAGTGCCGATCAGGTCCCCCCTATCCTCCGGGTGCACCGGGACAAGGTATGGTTCCTCGTCCAATCGTTTCCACTGGGTTATCGAGTCAAGCAGCCATTGCACCGTTACGATTTTGATGTTAGGGTACCGCGTCGCTTCACGGACTTTGGCGGTGCGGTTCCTGCCGGCGACGAGATGGGTGGTTTTAGAGCTGATCTTTTGCGAGATGATTGCACCAAAACTTTTCGCCCAGAGTGAGATGTCGGCATTTTGCGTGTCGGTTCCAAGGGGTAGGACCCCGGAGAATACCAGGTCCACAGACTGGAGTACGGGCCGCTTGATCTGTGGCATGATGACTTTGATATCAGGTACAATGCGAAGATCGATGTCTTTGTCTTTGGAAGGAACGCGTTGGCCCTTTAAAGCCGAGACTCTCCCGCCAAGTGAACTGGTTCGTCTCCTATCATATTCATCGAAAAAGGCCGTGTGTACCGCCTTGAGCCGCTCTTCAAGTTTGGATAGCTCAGTGTCGTTGTCTTCAAGGAGATGATGGCGGTGTCTTGAAGAGTCGTGCGAATCAGAGCTGGATGAATCCCCGTTTTCGCCCGCCGCTAACAACTCGGCCGCTTCATCTTCAGCATCTAGTTGCTTCTGTTTCTGCAGCAACGGTCGTTCTTCAACTTGGTGCGCGATCGCCTCTTCCTGCTCAGTGGCCTGTTCTTGGAGCAGCACTGGGTTATCGCCTCCTCCCATGGTAACCAGTTGCTCCAGTGCTGATATTTCCGTAGTCGTTTGCCCATCTGCGTTCGTCGCGCTAGACCCATTGGTCGTTGTCCTTGTCGTTTCCGTCTCCTTTGAATCCAGCTCCTTTTTTGACTTGGCCGCGCCCAGAGGAAAACCTTTGAACTCCTGTTTTTTCGGGAGGAAACTAGAGTTGATATCTCCAATACCAACGAAAAAATCGTAAGGCACCACCTTGATCAAGTTATCCGTCCACTTCCACACATCTCCTCTGTCATCTATGATAACAACCATTTTCGTATCGACGGGGAAGAGGCGTTGCAGGTTTTTGGCGGTCAAACTCCCACTCTCGTCCCGGCTAAGAATCCTGTCCCCGAAAATCTTGCGGTCCGGATCCACGATGCTTGCGATATGCTGCGCGTACGCGCGGGTCCCCATTGTGTAGATGTGTAGTTCGAACAGCGTGGAAATATTTCGCAGAAACTCTTCTAGCCCAGGCCGTAGTTTGATGTAATACCAACACCCCTTCATGCCAGGCCCATCATCCACAAGCTGAAAGGCGCGCACGTCCTTGACCGCTTCATGGTTCGGGTTATCCTTGTCTTGCTGCCACTCTGCCACCGTCGGATCCACCGTTGCGTGAATAATTGTCTGGTCTAAGTCGACGACGAGGGATAATCGTCTCGACGAGAGGAGCCTGCGTTTCGCATCCTCTTCCACCCTTGTTGCTTCGTTCTCGCTGACCGTCAAAGCAGAGTTATCGTGCACCATGCGAATCGGGGCACGAGAAGAATCCAAAACCTCCGTGTTATAATTAAACCTATAAATTGAGGGGAAAGCCATCAACAGAGGTTCGAATATAATTCAGAGCAAGAAAGTAGGCATTGAAGAAAGAAAGAAAGAAAGAAAGAAAAGCCCATACTCATTCATATCTTTCCCGCAGCGACCGCACATTCCCCCATACTGAATTTCATGCGAACAAGGCTCATTGATCTCCGCAATATCAATCCTTCCAGATATAAAATAAAAAGTTAGCATCAAGCTCAAATGCTTGAGATACAACAGAAGAATAAATAATATAAATGGAGAACAAAAGAAAAGAAAAGAAAAGAAAAGAAAAGAAAAGAAAACACTCACGGCTTCTCAATCACAGCGCCCTTCCTAACCTTCCACGCAACCAGCTCCCCATCAACTGCGGACTCAAACCTCGTCGGAAACGTCTTGAGCACGTCATGCTTGTTTCCCAGCCCATCACCTTCCGTCACCGTAGTGCGGTAATAGTATGCGAAGATGGCCTCGCCCTGCCGGATGTTATCGCCAGGCCGCTTCAACAGCTCTG